CAGTGCAAACAAGAGGCCAAAAAGGATGTTTTGCTCCTCTTGTTCCATATTTCCCCCCACAGAATGACACTGGGCAAAAGTTAGGTGACGTTCAGGCAAGTGGGGAAAAATCCCCTCACTGCTGAGGAGTACTGGACAAAAGGCTCCAGCCATTTTATGGACCAGGGGCTGGTGGGAGGTAAAGAAGGAAGGGCAGAAATGGAAAGTTATGAGCCAGAGTGGAGGAAAGCATGTCAGCCAAGGCCCTGGTGAAGGTGCCTGGGCTAGGGATGCAGATGTGTGAATGAACATGGCTGACCCAGTGGGGATGCTCACTGTTCTTGCCACTCCCTCCAGAAAACCAGTGTGCAGAACCCTGGCTATGCACCAAGTCATGTGTGGGAGGGCACCTTCCCCTATTGGGATTTGCCAGGGAAAACCAGCCTAGGGTCAGGCCTGAAAGATCACATACCTGTGGACTGGACTCCTCAGGTCAGATCTGTGATCTACAAAAATCATTCACAGACAATGTGAAAGATGAACTTGACGAAGAGGATTCACAGTGACAAGGGGACTGGTGGGAGGTTAGTGCAACAATCCGGTTTGGACATGTGACCTGAACTCCTGTTAAAGTGACTGAACCTAGTTCACGCAGGAAAGGACATACATCCAGGAAGGGCTAATAAACTGGAAGAAAAATGGGGGAGTCGAGAGATTGGAAGATGAGCTCAGGTGGCAATGAGGGAAAGAGCTCGAAAAGCAGAAGTTACAGTTAGGAAGTGGGGGATAAGAGTCCATGATTTCCAAGGTGGAATGATTATAGGTGGTTCTGAGGCCAGAAGTGTGTTCAGGTAAGCAGAGTAGTGAAGTAGAGGGGAAGTCAAGGACACAGAGCTAGAGTTTCTTTTTATCAAAGAACGCACACAAGATGGTGGCAGATGACAGTGACAATGGGTTTAAGAATAACAGAACCTGGGGTATCTGGGTGGCTCAGTCAGTTGAGCACTGGACTCTTAACTTCGGCTCAGGTCGTGATCTTGGGGAGCGTGAGTTTGAGCCCTGCAATGGGCTCCATACAGTCAGCGCGGAGCCTGCTTAGGATTCTCCTTCTCTCTCTCTCTCTGTTCCTCTCCTGCTCGCACATTCTCTCTTTCTCCTTCAAAATAAATAAATAAACTTAAAAAGAAAAGAAGAACAGAAGTAGATGGCATGAGCTTTCTGTGCAAGTTAAGAACAGCAGTTGTTTGGAAACAGCAGAGCAGAGACGGAGTATTACTAACTCACAAGGCACAGATATACAAAGTTATGCAGGAAAGAACAGCTTTCACAAAGGGGGAAGTAGCAGAAAGGACTACCCTCAGATGAGCAAGCCTGAGAAGAGCCTGAGGGCTCTGAGGAGTTCTCTCTAAAAATGGAGCAGTTTCCAGAGAAAAATGGAAAGGGGCAAGAGAGATCAACAAAGAGGGGAAACAGAGTAAGAGATGAGAAAACAGGCCAGAACTGATATTTACAAAGACCTATATCTGGGGTGGTGCCAGACGGTGACGTGGTGAGGTGGGGCTGGAACTTCAGGGTCCCCGGCCTTGGTCTGGCTGGTCTCTGGGGGCACTGCCACACAGCGACTAACCACTTGTATTTTACTCTGCTTGTGAGATTTTTTTAAAATAAATTTTGATAATGTTTAAATTTCCTGGAGTGTGTTTGACAAAGCAAAGTTCTAATGAAGAGCAAAAAATATCTTTTTTTTTTTTTAGCTCACATTGTAATGGAGTAGAAAAAATAATGTAAGGATAAGAAAAACTTATTAATACATTTCTTTAAGCTCAGAAACGGTTCCTGAGAATGTGTGGGTTGGAAGAACTTCAACAGTACATTTAATTTATGCTAACCCCACAGGACTATACTTACACCCTAAAAGTAATACTTGTTCTCTGGAGAAGGTAATCTCAAACTTAACAAACTGGGGAAGATAATTACAAGCTTAAAAAGTAATCTTTTCTACTACGTAATAAACCTTAATTGAGAATGTACTTTCGGATGTTTACTCTGAAACTTTTAAACGGATCTTACATCCTCTGGTTCTATCCAGGAGGAAATGCTAGCCCATGATGCATTTTTAATTATTCTTCAAATAACACATAGTTATTTTTCCACCTTTTCCACCCCACTGAAGACTTTCTTCTTGGTCTAACTCTATAAAATCCTAAAAAAAATAAACAGGTTTTCACTGGCCTGTAACAAAAAGACAGACTGTAAGCAGTATCCTGGCTAGGACAGAAGAGGAATGCTTAGAGCTCTTATTCAGACATAAACAATGGATTTATTTAAGGTGGTTTATTAAGGATGACACATCTGTCACTTATTACCAGAACTAATTAGTCTTATAAGTCTAGTATAGGTTAAAATTTTCCTTCCACTCTTACATATGCCATTTGTATCCCTCCCCAAACTGTGTGTCATCATAAGTTTTAAACTAGTGCTTCACATAAACTCTGTACTTTAGTCATAAAAGAAATGATACCCACCACCTATCATGTACTGAGCTTTTACTGTGTGCCAGATGCTGCACTGCTTTATATAGAGCTCATGAATCTTCACAACCATCTGTGTGATGTACACTATGGTGATTCAGCTCATAAATAAATTAAAATGGTTCATTTGGACTCTACACATAACATTTTAAGTCACAGTGATGAATAATAATGTAAGAAAATAGCTAAAATGAGATCATCAATTATATGAATATTAATTCCAACTACCTCCATTAGATATTTATCCAAATCCACTATAAAAATAGTTCAATTATCAAATGTGTAGCCTACTTCCTGAGTCCTTATCCCTTCCTGAAACAGGTACCGCATCTTTTAAAATGGAAAAAGAGTGGCAGAAAGATAGTGAAAAGCAAGTCATATGGGAAATTGATTGAACATTTCTCATTTGTAAGGAAGCTTTATGAAAATCTTTGCTTAGGGACACCTGGGTGGAGCAGTTGGTTAAGCATCTAACTCTTGATCTTGGCTCAGGTCATGGTCTCACAGTTTGTGAGTTCGAGTCCCGCATCGGGCTCTGCACTGATGTTGTAGAGCCTGCTTGGGGTCTGTCTCTACTTCTCTCTGACCCTCTCCCACTTGTGCTCTCCCTCTCTTTCTCAAAATAAATAAACTTAAAAAAAATAATTTAAAAAAATTTTTGCTTAATAAAATGGATTCATACACTTGCATTTAAAAAAACAGATTCTTTTAAAAAGAAAGAACAGATTTAATTTTATTTAAAAAAAATTTTCTTTAAGGTTTATTCATTTTTTTGAGACAGAGACAGAGCGTGAGTGGGGGGGGGGGGCGGCGGGTAGAGAGAGAGGGAGACAGAGAACCCAAGGCAGGCTCTAGGCTCTGAGCTGTCAGCACAGAGTCTGATGTGGGGCTCGAACCCACAAACTGTGAGATCATGACCTGAGCTGAAGTTGGACGTTCAACCAACTGAGCCACCCAGGTGCCCCTAGAACAGATTGAATTTTAAACAAAATCAGATACGAAAGAGAAGAAATAACAACTTGACACCACAGAAATACAAAGGATAAAAGAATATTATCAAAAATTATATGCCAACAAATTGGACAACCTAGAAGAAATGGATAAATTCCTAGAAATATACAACCTTCCAAAACTGAATTAGGAAGACATCTGTGAACAGATGAATTATCACTAATGAAATTGAATAAGTTATCAAAAAACTCCCAACAAACAAAAATCCAGGACCAGAGAGCTTCATAAGTAAATTCTACCAAAAATGTAAAGAAGAATTAATACCTATTCTTCTCAAACTATTCCAAAAAATAAAAGAAAACTTCCAGATTCATTCTATGAGGTCAGCATTACCCTGATACCAAAACCAGATAAAGACAGCACAAAAAAAAAAAAAAAAA